CAATAACACCGGGGCCTTCGACATGCACACACCACAGGGAACTAGGGATACCTCAGCAGACTGATGGTGTGGACAGCACGGACACTGTGTGTGTGTGTGTGTGTGTGTGTGTGTGTGTGTGTGTTAGAGAGAAAGGGAGAGAGATTATTGACATGAATTGGATTTTCCATTCACTGAAATGTAATTTAACTGGACATACTGAAGAAATTAAATAAGGGTTGCACATTATTTTTAATTAATTTCAGATGCAAGTATTGACAGGCATTTATATATGGCTTCAGTATAGTAAATATTAATAATTAGTTTATTTAAATCTGGATAAAAAAAGTATACTTTGATGCGTAATTTCACTTAAGGTGTACAATAATTGCATCATCAAGCAGTTCTTCATACAGTAGTCAAGATATGTGCCTATAAAATGTAAATGCATGCACACGATGTTTCTGAAGAAAAATAAAATGACACTCCAGTTTCAAATTGGTTGTAATTAGTGCCAAAAGCGCCATGCAACAGCCGGGACTGAGCGACATTCCTTTGCCATTACATTGTAACTGATCTTTGGAGACTGGACGCACGGCTACAGGGCCGCTCCAACCTCGCAGTGACCCCATATGATCTAAGTTTACAAAGCTGTGGCGAAACATGAACCCGAGACTCACTCCGTAGAATTAACTTCAATTGCGCAGCGGGATTGTGGAGAGGAGTTTACAGAGAACACACGCTTCTGATTTGCACCACAAATCTGATAAGGTCCGAGGACGCGTCAGATGTGCAGACTGGCAGCTGGACAGGTAGGTTATAGTGGGATCGCGCAAATGCATCAAAGAAATAAGAAGTTAACTCGTTTTTATTTTCCCATTAATTTAAAACATCCGGGTCAGAGGTGACAATGCTGGTCTAATTCGAACTATCCGCTCATAGAGGTCATGCCGGTCCCCGGGGCCATGTGGACCTGTTTCTTCTTCTCCCCTCATAATTACATTTTTGTCTCATCCTCCCCTTGAAGTGCTGGGGTCACCACGTGTACATCCTAAACAGCCAAACAACCCTGCCTTGATGTTCTGGGCTAGCATCCCTAAACATTTAACTCTGAATAGACAGTGACTGAACAGCCTAGTGTTTTTATTTGTATTTAATTTTAACAAACGATTTAAAGTGAGAGGCATGGTCGTTAGTGTGTGTGTCCCCGAGCTGTATCCACACAAAAATCCCCGTAAGAAGATTACATTTATAATCATTGATCAATAGAAAGTATTACATAAACACGTCCACATTAAGTAGCCTATATTGTTTTTGATATATTCGAGGAGGAATTTGGGAAATTATTTTATCTTTAGCATCTTTTAGTGTTGCATCATGATATCTATGATCAGGAAACAATATGACATAGAAACAATATGACATAACAGCATAGTTTAGAAATGTAGGCTTTTTTAATCATCATCCCTGGCAGCACAATAAGATTATGACAAAGCCACATTTTAAAAAACTGATTAGAGCTGCATTTTAACTCTATTTAGTTTATAGAAGCAGACACAACAGACCCAAGCCCTAGGAAACTATGACAAATATTAAAGTGTTCCTCAGAAGAAAAAAAGTTATACAAGAGAAACTGAGTTTGAAAGGGACAGGTGTAAAGGCTGTAAAGTTGAGGAATACAAATATTATATTCCAGCCATGATAGAGGGTCTTGTGATACTGTTAATTAATGATGCTTATTAGCAAATAGCATGAACTACGATTAAAAAACAACTTTTCAAATAACATCTTCATCACATCTTTAATTTCAAAGTAGAGACTTTTAGTTGCTGAGCCATTTGAAGAGTGAAAGGTACCAGAAAACACATTTTTGGTGAGAACCTGTTTGTATCCCGCCATCTGCTGGTGAAGATTTGACCCTACTGGTAGAGTTGTGGCGTTTCTGCGACCAGTGCAAGAAAACTGTCAAAGCCTGATGTGTTAATGAGCGTGCAAAGGTGTGGCTGCAGATACATTACTTCTGACTCTGAGGATGATTGTTGAATCAGACCCTGAGACTGAGAGCCACAATACCCTTTCAGCAGCAGGACTATATGTATTTCAGACAGAGGTGGAAGAAGTTCTCAGATCTTTTACATAAGTAAAAGTAGAAGTACCAGAGAATACTCTGTTAAAAGTCCTGCATTCAAAATTTTACTCAAGTACAATTAAGTATTAGCTTCAAAATATACTTAAAGTACCAAAAGTATCGCAATATGCAAATTGTCCCATTTCATGTTTTGATTATAATTATTGACGCAGATTAAAGTGTTATCAAAGCTGGTAAAGGTGCAGGTAGTTTTAATGACTTTGTATGCTGCAGGGTAGCTTGTGAATTTACTCCAGGAGTAACTAAAGTATTTTTTAAGTATTGATTATATTTCACATCATTAATCCAAATATGCAAAGTAACTAACGGTATTAAATAAATGTAGCAAAAGTACAAGATTTACCTCTGAATTGTAGTAGAGTAGACTATATATAATACTCAAGTAAAGTACAAGTATCTCAAAAGTGTACTTCACTACGGTACTTCAGTAAATGTACTTCCCACCTCTGACTTCAGCAAATGTGCACTTTCTGAAGAACAATAATGCCACTTCTCAGATGGGTTTGTGTGACTAGTAGTGGAGTCTGCGCAAGCTGTGGTTTTGCTGCCATCTACTGGTATACATGTTGTACCTTTTGCAGCATCGCTTGAGCGTCCAATCAATGATCAATGGACCCAAAATAAATAAATTCAAACACTCGTTATGTCCAACATTTGTGAAGAACACCTTATTGCACATTCAATTATTTGAATCGACCAATTATCAAACAGTTACACATATGCTATTCCGTTCAGAGTCATGATGTCATGTGTATGCATACGCTCCCATTCTACAAATTGAATACATAAACGTATATTAATGGCAATGACACAAATATACATTTCTGTTTCTAAAACGCACAAATAAAGTTTTACAACATCCACTCATAAATAAGTTCTGATTACATAGCTCTATCACTTTATTAGGGGAACTCTCGCGAGATAGGGTTGTCGGGTCTAGCGAGAGTTTTTGCAGTTAGAAAATTGAGTCCCTACAATTTAGCTATACGTAGGGAATATACACCAAGAAAGGTGGAATTAGAAGTTAGAAAATAAGTCTTCCAATTCAGTCAAGGCTGCGAAACTATTGATCCTTTCATGGGAACTGTAAAGCTCTCGCAACCACTCTCTGGGAAATGTTTCGAAGGAAATAAAGTTAACACAATCTAGTCCTGCTGACATTAAAGAACAGGAGTAAGATTGTTTTTAATTAGGTCAACGTTGTCCGACAGTTGCATGTATGGAGAGAGCTAAAGAGGAACATCAACAAACAAATAAACACGATCGCAATCAAAGCAACACATGCAGTGGGAGGACATCAACTTGGATATTTGGACATTGAACACTTCACGTCCATGAGAGAGGAGAATTGGTCTTGACCTCGAAAAAAGCAAGTCAAATGTATTCCCTTTTTCTATATTGATTGAGGCGTTCTGCGCGTATTTTTTCCTTGTGCAGTTGATGAATTAGACTACATTTATGTTGTTAGGACTCTGCTGCACTGATATGTTTGTTGATGTTGTGTTGGTTGTTGTCTGATCTGTTCCTTACTCGCCTGCTGAAGAAGCTGCTACATTGATGCTTCTGTCTAAACGGTCTGCATGACACCAGAGTTTTTAATATTTAGAAATCACCTCCATTTTGCATACATGTCACATGTGAATACGTATTGACCAGTTCTGCTGCTTCTGAGAATGTATTCATCCTCGTTTTGTCCCTGACCTTTCCTTAAAGGAGAGGTAGGGGACTACATTAAAAGATCAGACTTACAGCCCCTGACTTAAGTGACAAACGTTATGGATATTTCATGTTGTATTCATAATTCATTGCATAACAAAATACACTTAACAGCTTGTGTTCAGGTCATACAGGAATTTATAAAAACATAATGTGTTGAGCTTATCTGATACTTTCTACTACTTTCTTTAGACAGTGTATCTATGCTCTCTACTGGTAGGCATGAACATAGAAAGAGATACATGGATGGAGGGCATTGGATGGGGTTTAAATACACTACCCAATACAAATATTATTTATTCTACATAGGCTATATTTATTAATAAACTATAGCTTTAAATTTGAAGGTATTGTTACATTAATTGTTCTATTTTATCTATACACAACTGTTGATGTGTTGTATTTTTAAAAGTATGGCAGTTACACATGACAAGTATTTAAAATTCTTCCTTATAACCGTCAGCAACAGGCTTAATTTTCTTTCGAGCGTTATCTCAAAGTAGAAAATCTCCCCATTCGCTGTACATTAACTTTTAGTTTAACAACATTTTTAGACAGTGACATTTGTAGTAAGATGTCTTATACAAACATATTTTTTCATGTTGCGTACAGTACTGATATTTACGCACAGCTAAATATTATCACCTTTGATATTATATTTGTTAATATATGAATGTCTGTGTCTACCTAAGATTTTCAATCTAAATGGCACATAGGAAAATCGTGTAGTATTTGTTTTGTATCTGTAAATAATATCATCCTGTATATTTTGGGGTAACAGTTAAGGAAACACATCTCTCGATTCAGCTTCTCAAATTATGTGATTTTTTAAAAATGTTTATTTCTGTAGTCTTCTACTAAAATAAATGAAGTATATTTAGGTGTTGGATTGTTGGTTGGCTAAAACAAAAATTAGAAAAATCATCTTTGGCTTTGAGAAATTGGGATTGGTATTTTTTACACAACATTTGACATAAAATGACTTCAGAGATTATTGAGAAAATAATAAACAGAATAATTGATTGTAACAATAATCCTTAGCTGCAGTCCTTGTTGGGGAATACCACTTGATATAAAACTGTGTTTTTCATGTCATTTTATAACCAAGACTTTAATTAGGCACTGAAAGTTTTTTTAAGTGTTCACATATCATTGTTTAGTTCTGAGAGTCTCTGTTGAATTTGATGCGTTCGATAGTCGAAGTGCAGCCCTCACAGTTCTGCTGGATGAACTGTGTGAGAGAGAAAACACTCAATGATTTGGTGAGTGACAGAGATGTATATAATATTCATTTTTTGATATTGTAGCTATATGGGAAGGCTGCTTGTACTTACATTAGATAATGCCTCTAAAATAACGTCACTTTCCTCTGTTCGGGAAGAACCTGAAACTCTAAGGTGAATGGTAACTGTTTTGGCATCTGTAACAAAGAAAAAACGTGCAAATATTTAAAACTGTTAACTACGTCACTGATGCACAGATCTCCATGTAAAATACTTTACTTGAGCTGACGGTGAAATCTGTGCTTGTGTTGGAAAAAGCAGATTTGCTCCCATCTACTGGTGAAGATGTTACACCACTAGTATCCTGACGTGTGCTGGTCTCTGCAATTGTTGTCTCTGCTGAGGGAAAGGAAGGTATTGTTTAGTGAGCATGATAAGGGAGTTGTATTAACTGAGGGGATTGTTGGCTTTGGCTCCTGATTGACAAGATTGCCAATTTGGCCACAACAATAAATCAATACACAGAAAAATATCCCCCAAGTGTTCTGATTAAACTTAAATTGTATCTAGAAATAGAAGAAAATACATTGAGCATCCTCTCAAATAATGAGATGTTTTGCTTTTCTCGTTTTGAGAATCATATGAAACTGAATTTTTTTTCCGGAGTTTGGTACTGACAATACAAGACAATACAAAAAATCACTGCGAGTAACAAGAATGGACATGTTTAATAAAAAAAATTGTTTTGTTGATGCCAACTCCATTTTAAAATCTTACTTGCAGAGATCACAATGACCAACCTGTAGCTATTGTAGATGTAGTACTGCTTGTTTGGCTGGTTGTTGTTGTTGTTGTTGTTGTTGTTGTGGCAACAATTGTGGACACTGGGTTGGGTCTCCTATCTGATTCAGTTGTGCTGCTTGTCGTACTGGGAGTTTTTGTTAGAGAGACTCCGGATGATGAAGATGGGGGGATATCTGTGGCTGTAGATGTACTACTTGTACTTGTTGGTTTTGTATCCAAAACTGTAGCTGATCTACTTGTACTCACTTCCAGCGGTGCAGATTCAGTTATGCTGGGTGTTGTAGTATTAGAGACATTGGAGTATAATGTTTTTACAATGTCTTCTGTTGTGGGAGTAGTATTGCTATTTGTTGTGCTGGGTGCTGTTTTTGCAGAAGCTGATACAATTGGGCTGTTACCTGCTTGTGTGAATTTGCTACTGCTTGTTTTGCTAGTTGCTGTAGTAGCAAACACTGTGGGCACCGGGTTAGTGTCCACAGTGTCTGATAAAGTAATGCTGCTTGTTGTGCTGGAAGCTGTCGATGGAGAAACTGTTGATGACAAAGATGGCCGGATATTGCTCTGTGTAGATGTACTACTTGTACTTGAGCTTGGTGGTGTTGTATCTGTAACTGCAGATGCTGAAGTTGTATTCATTCCCACCAGTGTTAATGTTGCAGTACTCCCTGTTGTGCTGAGTGTTGTAGCATCAGGAACTCTGAAGCCCAACGTTGTTAAGATGTTTGCTAGTGTAGGGCTAGAAGTGCTGTTTGTAGTGCTTGGTGTTGTATTTGAGGCTGTGGATGCTGAAGTTGTGCTTTTATTTGCTGATGAATACTTAATGCTGTTTGTTTGTCTGGTTTCTGTAGCATTAACAACGGTAGATGCTGAAGTTGATCTCATTTCCACCAGTAAAGGGGCTGCAGTGCTGCCTTTTGTGCTGGGGCTTGTAGTTTTAAAAACTGTGGAGGCTAAAGTTGTTAAGATATCTGCAAGTGTAGGGCTAGTATTGCTGTTTGTTGGGCTGGGTGCTGTTGTTAAAGAGGCCGATGAAGTTGATTTGTTATCATCTGGTGTAGATAAACTGACACTTGTTTGGCTGGTTGTTGTCAAAGCAAAGTGTGTGCTCCCTTCTGATGCAGTTGTGCTGCTTGTTGTACTGGATGCTGCAGTGCTGCCTGTCTCAATGGGTGATGTAATATCAGTGAATTTGGATGCTAAAGTTGTTACGTTGTCTGCTAATGTAGGGGTAGTATTGCTGTTTGTTGTCTTTGGTGCTGTTCTATCTGAGGCTGTGGATGCTGAAATTGGTTTTATATTTACTGGTAAAGATGTAAGGCTATTTGATTGGCTGGTTTCTGAGGTATCAGTGACTGTGGATGTGGAAATTGTACTCTCTTCTACCAGTCTAGATGCTGCTGTGGTGCCTTTTGTACTGGGTGTCATAGTATCAGAGACTGTGGATGCTAAAGATGTTACAATTTCTGCTTGTGTAGGGCTAGTATTACTGTTTGATGTGCTTAGTGCTGTTCTATCTGAGGCTGTGGATGCTGAAGTTGTTTTTATATTTGCTGGTGAAGAAGTAATGCTAATTGATTGGCTGGTTTCTGANCGTGGCCTCGTTTTATTTAAATTGAGGCCACGAATTACATCTCGTGCGCACAAATTAATAAAACGTGGCCTCGTTTTATTTATTTTTCTCTCTATGAACCCTCCAGGGCTCCGTACACAATGGCTATTGCCAGGTGGTTAGCTAAAACTATTGTTCCAGTTAGCCAGATCAAGACATTAGCATATGTCAGGGAAATTTAAGGCTGGCATCGGCCACAATGGCATCCGTCTCTGGCACAGCCCCTGTTTGTTTATTCAGTGCTGGCCCTCTAAATAAATGGATATGGACTCAGTTGAGCGTTTATGGGAGATTTTGAGATGATGTGTGGAGATGAAAAGTGGAGAGTACAGGTGATCAGTCAAATTTATGTCAGTGTTGTATTTCATTTATTTCCCTCTATGAAATGAACTCTCCACAACAACACTGAGGGAAGCCATGCTAATAAAACTGCAGTCTATACAGAATAAGAGGTTTAATTTGTTCATTTGGGAATAATGGTCTGCATGTGGAAGCGTGTCCCTAATAAGACTGTAAGATTATTTTTGAAGCTATAACTATCAGTAGCTGCAAATATCTAGTTTAATTTGGTCCCATTGGGAGTTATATGGCTATGAAATCTGAGCTGTTGACTTGGCTGAAAGAACTGTGACTATAATGCCTCTACTGGAAATTGTGTGGGTGTGTTTGTAGGTTTACCTTACAACACTGACATGAGGGATGATGTGATCTTCAGACAATATGAAATAACCTGTTCCACCTCGCAGCACGGAAGGAAAAAGATAGTTGTACCCTTTTTCGATCTCAATCTCACGTTAGTGTACGAACACTGAAGGGCATTTCCTTCACCTTCTCACTCTTCCCCTGTTTTTGTGTCAGGTTGACTGTTGATTTTCAGTGTGATTGAGTGAAATACAACAGTGAGAAGAAATGAAATCTGACCGCGCGCACATTCGATACTTCACTGTCCGCCGTTTTTGCCAAGGGAAGCAACAAACAACAAACAGATTCACAGAGACTCTGCAACCGGGCCAACATATAAACAAGATGAACAATGTCTCCAGGGGTAAGTGAGAGGAGCAGAGAAGGCAGGGAAGTGCAGTGTTTGTTCTCTGATCGATGCCATACATAGTGCATGAGTTCCCTATGAACTGTAGGTAAAAGTTGTTTGTTTCTATATGAGAAAGTTCAGATAAAGAGAGGATTAACTATTGAGATGGGGGTTCAATAAAGGTAAAACATATAGGAGGCATTGTTTGTGAGTAAGAAAGCGGCAGAAAGAGTTTCTCATCTCAGATAATACAATGTGAAGTTGCTTCAGATCGATTCATGGCTCCAGTCAAGCAAAGGCCAGGGACAGGCCTGCTTTAAGTAGGAATAGGAAAAGAAAATACCAAAATATTTTTGATTAGATGCTCATATCCTTGCCCAGAGCTTTGATTCCATCCAATAGACAACTATAAACCAGGGTGATGGCCAAGCTCTTAGACAAAATTAAAAGACAAAATTGCCTTCATAAATATTAATCTAGGTAAGGTAGAGGTTGCGCCCTTCACAATTATTCATGCTCTCCAGAGCACATTTGTCAAGAGTAAACAGTATCCCCCTGTTTACCTAATACCTAATTCTATTCTTAAGGATGTAATTAAACACAGTTTGCTAAAGCGCACATTCATCTCTCTCTTTCCTTCCTTTTCCTAGAGGAGTACACTTCCTTACAAATGCACTTTCCTCAGCAGCAGTGCCTCAGTTCACTTGGAATTAAAGGTGGAAAGAGAGTTAATTTAACAGCATTTTGGCATGTTATACACTCTTGGGGCCAGCTAGTATACTGCAGATGGCCTTTGCCTTTCTTTTTTTTGTAAAGGTAATATGTAATTAGCGGCTTGCTAAAGTGTGACGAAATCATTAGTGAGCAGAAAATAATCCGATAATACTTTTCTCTATGCTTTTATTGTCTATGAAGTATGGATTGCAATTGTCTGCTTGACTGCACTTCTATTTTTAATCTCATACATTTCACAGTAGGGTTGTGAAATATGGATAAAATCTTATTTCTTGGTATAGATAATTTTATGTAATGTCGTCGAGGGTTCGGTCAGATTACTATGAAATGTATTAAATTACAAATTGCTTTAATCTAATCTGATACCTATTGGGTTACCAAAAAATTAAACATTTACAAATTACGATTTAATCTAAAACGAAGAAGACACAGCCTTAGAAATGTGAACAAATATAATGTAAAATACAGGATGAACAGTTGGTTGAATCAAATGATTGTACAAAGTAACGGTATACGGTGTTTATTCCACCACATGTTAGATGCCGTTTATTTTTCTGTTTTTTGTTGTTTTTTTAATCAAAGGCAAGAAATCAAAGGGAGCACTTACTCAAAATGTTAATCTTCAATTTATTTAAAAAAATGATAAAATCAATAAAAACCGCCACCATCCATAAATCATCAGTACAAATAACAAAATTAGCAGACATTGATTTAATTAGCCCCATCTTCCTCCTTGGCGCTGTATATAGCTGTGATTGATTCAAATCCTCCATCTCCATATTAAATAAAGACGATGGCTGTTTTTTTACTACTTACTTTTTTTGTTAACTCTTATCATGAACATGAGTGTCCCAAAACTTGACAGTGTAGTCATTATTTAGTGGGAATGCTGTTAACAGCATTCCAACTGACTGTTCTTCTACGGACGAAAAGTTTATTATTATTCCGCCGGTATTTTGCCGCGCTTCTCCTCCCGCATTGAACATCGCAGAAACTCCGTTCAAACATCAAAACGTTCAGCTCGGTCGGGAATCGATGGCATTTACTTTTCTCATTCATAACTTTCATAATTCCAGAGATACATCACATTTTTAACATTGAAGTCAATGGAGAAAATCTTCAGACTTCAACAAATCTTTGTGCAATTCAACTCCTAACTGTTCATTCATACTTTCACTCAGACACCTCATTCCAACTTTAAAATGTTACACATCTTTCTGACATTATTCGTGTAAACCAACTTTAAAATCTGATTCTTAGAGATATTAAACATTGTTCAGACCTTGTTTTAGAGGTTTTCTTCACATTTTAACATTAACTAGAGTGTGTGATGTCACAGCTAGAGTAGAGGGACAGCTTGAATTCGCATTCATCATTTTTTCCTTTAAAACTGCCATAATTCCCAAACCCTTAACATTCCTGAGAACATAATTTATCATGAAAAAAACTTAGGAAAACATCTCGTAACTGAAAAATGACAAATAATTAAGCAAAATAACTTAAACAAAATGCCTTTTGAGGGCCATGAAGTGACAAAAACGTTCACATTCCTCCATTAGACCCCATTGTAATTTCAGGCAGATATGTTCCTACCTCACAGCAGCAGCCGACACCCTTATAGTTAACTGAAAAGGCACTTTTAACAAAAATACACAAAAATACACTTCAGATACTCAACTTCCTTGACATGCTTCACGTTTTGAATTTCACCAAGATCATTTGTTACGGGGTTCTTCCCACGTTCCATGTAAAGAGGTTTATCTCTCATTCAGACAAATGAAGCCTGTTGATCTCTAGAGAGCTCGTTAGCGTCAACTATAAACACCTGTGTAATGGAAAAAGATGAATGTCATCCACTCCAACTGACGGCCATGCTCAGAGCAGCCAGACCTTTCAGATAGCAGCTGTGCAACAAGTCCAGCCTTTGAAGAATCTACGGGACAGTTTGTGAGATTTCTCTGCAAATGCCGTTGCCATGGCAACACAATGTCGCCTTGAAACACGGTTTTCTCATAACTTCAGTGAAAATACTCAAACCTAGAACCTTCACAAGTTTGGGTAACCCGATGCAGCGCCCATCAAAGCATCTAAGCGTAGTATCGGGGTATCCATCAAACTCCGTTGCCATGGCGACGGACCACTCGGCCATGCACAGATGTGCTGTAAGTCCCAATCGACACGGTCAATCGTCCTCAAGTCTTCACTTGGCTATATCACCGGTCCATGCCTCAACAGCTCTACGGCCAATTCCTGAGATCGTGAATATGCCCGTTTCCATGGAAAAANCACCAGCAAATATAAAAACAACTTCAGCATCCACAGCCTCAGATAGAACAGCACTAAGCACATCAAACAGTAATACTAGCCCTACACAAGCAGAAATTGACAATTTCTGCTTGTGTAGGGCTAGTATTACTGTTTGATGTGCTTAGTGCTGTTCTATCTGAGGCTGTGGATGCTGAAGTTGTTTTTATATTTGCTGGTGAAGAAGTAATGCTAATTGATTGGCTGGTTTCTGAAGTATTTACAACGGTGACTGCTGAAGTTGTACTCACTTCAAACAGTGTAGATGCTGCAGTTCTGACTGTTGTGCTGGATGTTTTAGTATTAGAAACACTGGATTCTGAAATTGTACTTTCTTCTACCAGTGTAGATGCTGCTGGGCTGCCTGTAGTACTGGGCGTTGGAGTAGAGACTGTGGATGCTAAAGTTATTACAATGTCTGCTAGTGTAGGGCTAGTATTGCTGTTTGATGTGCTTGGTGGTGTTGTTTCTGAGGCTGTGGATGCTGAAATTGTTTTCATATTTTCTGGTGAAGATATAATGCTATTTGATTTGCTGGTTTCTGAAGTATTAACAACGGCGAGTGCTGAAGTTGTACTCACTACAGAGGCTGATAAAGTTGATTTTTTATCTTCTGGTGAAGATAAACTGACACTTGTTTGGCTGGTTGTTATCAAAGCAAAGTGTGTGCTCCCTTCTGATGCAGTTGTGCTGCTTGTTGTACTGGATGCTGTTGTTGGAGAGACGGTGAGTGCTGAATTTGTACTCTCTTCCACACGTGTAGATGCTGCAGTGCTGCCTGTTGTGCTGGATGTAGAAGTATCAGAGACTGTGGAGCCTAGAGTTGTTACAATGTCTGCTACCGTAGCATTGAAGTTTGATGATCCAGCTACTGTTGTTACAGAGGCTGATGAAGTTGTGCTGTTATATACTAGTGTAGCTTTGCTGCGGTTTGTTTGGCTGGTTGCTTTTGAAGCAAACATTATGGACTCTGTGTTTGTGCTCCCATCTGATAGAGTAGTGCTTCTTGTTCTACTTGGAACTTTTGTTAGAGGGCCTGGGGATGACAAAGATGGTGGGATATCTGTCGGTGTAGATGTACTTGTGCTTGGTGGCAATGTTTTCGATGCTGAAGATGTGCTCACTTCCAGCTGTGCATATTCTATTGTGCTGGATGTTGTAGTATCAGAGACTGTTGATGCTAATGTGAGGATGTTTTCTAATATAGGTGTAGTATTGACATTCGTTGTGCTATGTGGTCTTATATTCAAGGTTGTCAATGCTGAAGTTGTCCCGATATTTGCTGATGTGATGTTGTTTGCTTGTCTTGTTTCCAAAGTAACTGCAATTGTAGAAGCTGAAGTTGTACTCACTTCCCCCAGGGTAGATTCTGCTGTGCTGGGTGGTGAAGAAGGAGAGACTGTAGAAGCTTTTACAATGTCTGCTAGCGTAGGCGTAGGGATAGTGTTGCTGTTTGATGTGCTGGGTGCCGTTGTTGAAGAGGCTGATAAAGTTGAGTTATCTGCTGGTGTAAATGTGTCTCTGCTTGTTGGGATGGTTTCTGTAGTAGATACTATCGAGGCAGAGGTTGTGCTGACATCCAATAGTGCCAATGTTGTATCTGATGCTGTTGTTTTGGAAGTGTTGGTGTCATTTTCCAGTGTATGTCTGATACTGCTTCTTGTTGTGCTCTGTCTTCTTGGTGGCGAAGGGTTAGAGCCTGTATTCAAGATGAAAATGTGCATTATAAACCTCATCTCAATCCCAAACAGGCATCACTGTGTATCATTCCTTTTCCATGTGTTCACCATCACTCACCTTGTAAGCAGTTTGAAAAGTAGTCACTACAGCAGTCGTTAAATAGCACGCAGGAAGTGTCACAGTAACAACCCCTTGAACAACTGCTGTTTTGACCAGAGCAACACAGCAGTGGTGGACCTGCACAGCCTGCACACACAACACATCTTTAATTAATCATTTACACTTTATCAATTTATAACTGTTAATCCATTGTTTCATGATCACTCTGGTGTCTCACACCCTCATGATCGTCAATCAAATAGTAAACGTGCATATGACTTATTATAGCATAGCTTATTCTATAGCAAGTGTAGGTGTAGTGTAGATATAATGAAACTATCAGTTGTAGCTAAAAGTCTCTGTTCATTGTAGAGTTGGGATGGAGGCAGATTATGTGTCACTAGAGGATTGGGAGCAAGTAGTTGGCTACAGTGTGTGAGGTGATTTTACCTGTTGGAGCTGCGGATTGAGCTAGAAAATCATAAGAGACAATGACATGTCATTTCAATGGAATACATAAAACAAGAACATTTAAGTTCAGCATTTGCTTGAGCTGAAAGAGGTGACTTGCATGGATATCAAAGTTAACACCATTGATGTTGTTCAATCTTTCCTATAAAATGGTTTTAGTGAAGTGTCTATTTCCAAGTTTAAGAGAAAATCACACATTCTAAAATGAATTCCTATTTAAGGAACTACTCTTCCTTGTCTCTTCTACATTTACTTTGTTTTAATTTATACATTTTAAAATGTAAATTAAAAAAGTGTGTGTTTGTCCAACATTCATTCAGGTTTTGAAGAGAAAATTCTCCAGGTAAAGTCAAGATTTTGTTGTCTTTGTTTTATTGGTTTTAATTGCAGGGACTAAAGTCAGCACTTGAACACTTTGAAACCCTTCTCACATGAAGTTGTTGTCAAGAACCTTAACGTTTCCATTTGGACACAATTTCAGTTTAACTGTTTCAAGTTTTGTTTCAAATGTCTCATTGGAGGCAATTGTTTTTATGGGAATACCAAAACAATACTTAAATATGAAGCACTGTGTGTTAATTTTCATTTCTTGAATTTACAAAGTGACTACTGCATAAACCATTACCCTGATATAAAGTAACATGTACTGCGATATAAGATTCCAGCCATGTTTTCCACCACAAGTAGGCAGGGTCAATGACCTGATCCAGCATATTTATTTGTATTTTAGGTGGAACTGCACATATGAGACCCATTTGAATAATCTACCATTATTATTTGGAAAAAAATATAATCAGGTGAGTCATGTCAATTTAGATTATTAATTCGATTATTTATTTGGCTCGTTACAATCAGGTCAAACAACAAAAAACTAGGTCATGATTAAAACAATTGTTGTAACTGTGTATTCTAAATCTTCTATCGATAAGAAACTGAAAAAAATGAAATTAAGATAATTATACCACGATATTACTTTGGTAAATTGTTCAATATTAAATGATGTTTTACTCACCATTACAGAGAGGTAGCAAGCTCGACAGGACAAAGCAGCAAAATGAAAACCGACCCATGACTCTGTCGCTGTTGAGTGTAACAACGGCTTATTTATAGGTACACTCGTGATGACAATAATCCTATTGTCTTCACAGAAAATACATCTGCCTTTGTCTTCAGAATTATAATCATGTTACAGAAGTTGTGTAAACGTTTTTCTTACTGTAATTATCAGACACAGACTGTAGAAATGTCAAGAATGCAGTTGTAGCTACACTTGAGACGGAAATGTCTAGACTAATGGCTACACCAATGTAACCACAGTACTTAATCATTTGTCATTCAAATACACTTTATGAACAGGTACAAGTTACATAGAGTTTCTTTCCAACAATATTGGATATTGATACATCATTGTATTGTCATGCATAACAAATACTTTACCCTAAGGACAACGGACAACATCTGATATATCTCACAAGGAGTACAAGGATTTCTTGAAAAAATTAAAGATGTGAGATATTTCATGAAAGTTTGTTAGTTCTTAAAAAATGGACTTGAACGTTGGACATCACATTCTTGAAACAATGCAAAATCCCAGAAAACGGTGTAAACAGCAGACATGTCTTATTTTACTATGATATAGTTAGTGTGTATAACATTTTTATAGTCCAAGTCCTTTTAAAGTCTTCATGGCTACAGGTTATGTTTGTTCCAAGTCACATTTTGGCAGCTTAGGTTTGGAGATGACATGCTGTTTAAGGAAAAACTGAAATCTCCTTAACTCTTAAGTTTTTATTAGGGTAAGGGTTCATCAGTGTTGAGCTTTTTTGTGAATGCCACAGTGATGTTACAACTAGTCGTCAACATTTCCACAGAGTACTTTTGATGTCTTATCCCGACGTCCACCAATCTTTCACACTCTCCAGCTCTCTCCAAACTCTTGAACGTTCTTGGCCCTGGTACCATCTGGCTTCATCATGTCATTCTCCTTTTTACCGTCAAAGTTCCCACACAGACCCCCAACTTTCCTTTTATATATGCGGGGTAGAATGATCTCTGCAGAAACAACATCAACAACAGAGCATTACCTTATTACGTCTTTAACTCTCTTCCAGAAAAGAATTACTCATTAACTGACAATGTATGAAATTATGAATTGTGATTTAAGGATTTGTTGATGAATTACCTGCTCTGCTGTGGCCGTCAAACTCCACGGAGAGGCCAAAGTCGGTCTTCAGGTAGATGCGAGAAGAATGTTCCCAGATTTTTAGACCAGCAGTCGGTGAGGCGGGAATTTTTGTTCTCCTTCCATCCACCTGGAGGGGGACAGAGAGGGGTAATTCCCAATGTAACTTATATTAAGTAGACTTGTCTGATACAATATTAAGTTTTAGCCATTTGTGTCAGTGTTACTGTAGTGATGGTTGTTGAGACTGAACAATCTCGACAGCTATTGGATACATTGGCAACAATATTTGGTACAAACATTCATAGTCCCCACAAGATGGTTCTTTTCAACCTTAACATAACATAATTAACATGTCTCTGTCAGGTTAATTTATAGTAATCACTTTTCAAGTGGCCCCTGTCATTGCAGCACAATCTAAATCCGTTTCTTCAGAACTCTTTACAAAAAACAACATTATCAGACTCATTTGTACTGAGTTTAGTGCCACTGACTACAGCACTGTTTATGAGCGCCACACTTTGTAAAAAAAAATTCCATCCTCCATTGCTAAAGTCCTTACAGCATGGCCAAGAGGGAAATCTCACATTACAAAGAAAGACACAGCATGCATCAGTTGCATTTATGCTGTTGTAACAAGAAACACTGGTTATTCCACTCAGCGCTTTCACAGATGTCTTTGGGCTTGCAAGAATATGATGATCTTATCGTAATGTACCTGCTATGAAGGAGCCACAGTTTAATGACATGGAAAGAACAATATTGTTAGAAATGTCTTTGATACTTACAACCAGCCTCCGGTTTTTCTTTAATACCACAGTATGATCATACACTCTGATCTTAAGCTCTTGTAAACTGTGGTTCTCCTTGTGCTCTTCACTTGAGTGATCATGTTTGCTATCATCATCATCATCGTGGTCATGGTCATCATCATGGTCATTATCATGGTCATCTTCATCATCATCATCATCATCCCTAACTCTGCGACTGTGGTCTTCTTCACTGCTGCTGTCGTCATGTTGATGACTATCATCCTCATCCTTTACAGTGTTGATACCCTCGATGTAGACATGTGGAAGGTTATTTGGCAAGTTGTTGGTCCGGACCAGCACATACGAGTGGTCACCCTCAAAGTCGTGTTTCATTTGATCAAATGATCTGTATTCAGGGTCTTCCCTGATGGTGCACTCACTGAAGCCTGTGAAGAAATTCATAAATGATTTCACAAGATGTAACATGGTTAAGATGTATCACAATTAAAAAGAGTTAAATGGTGACACTTGCAGTACCTGTAGACTGGCAGTAATAATTGCCCTCATCATTTTGAAGGCAAACAGCATTTCCATCGCACTCTTCTTTGTCATCGCAGTCAATCTGACCCACGCCATGGTCTTTCTCACATTCACATTTCTGACTGCAGTGATTAGTGTACCACACATCAGAGAACTGACAAAACAAAAGTAGCCGTAAGTATTTTATACTGTAAAAAACATGTGACTTTGATGAAGAGCTACTCTGTCACTCACATCATATTTGGTGCCATTCCTTTCCACACAACCACATTGTTCGATAGGCACACAAACCGTCTTTTTCTGAACAAAGCCTTCATCACATACACATCCCTGCACACAACCCTCATCTTCAGTGCAACGTGGTGGGCCATTCAGGTGTGTGCAGGTTGGACTGCAGGCAGGGATACAAGTGGTGTAGTGACTGTTCTCTGGACAAGAGGGTGCTAAAGAGAAAGAGTGTATATTCTCAAGCTTAACATGATAAACAACAAAAGGTCAATACAAAGGTCTATACAACCAGGGCTGAGTGGTAAGTCAAAGCCACATATCACATTTCACAAGCACTTACAATCAAACATCATGTCATAATATGAAATTATTAAGCTTTTTTTTTAGGGTTTAATGTCAATAAAGTGAGACTAGATAATCATGTCCTTTTCAACACTTTGTTGTTCTGGATAACTAAAGTGTTTTGGTTTACATACTGTAATGTTTTTTTTGTTAATCACACTAGAGGAGGTGACATTTCGTCACAAATATGAACATGCCCAAAGCCTCAGCTGTCAATGGTGCCTAACCTGTGAGGTTTAAAGTATATATTATACCCAGTCCATGTATATACGGAAATACTTTGAACTTACTTGGTACAGGGGTAACTGGTGGTTGAGGTCTTGCCATTGTTGTTGATGGTGGTGTAGCTATAGTTGTAGGCTGCGGACTACCTGTTGTTGAATGTGGTTTATTAGTTGATGTGGGTTGTGGTCCTGCTGTGGTTGGTGGTTGTGGTTGAACTGTTGTTTGTGGTGGCTTTGGTGTAGCTGTGGTTGGTGGTTGTGGTTGAACTGTAGTTTCTGATGGCTTTGGTGTAGCTGTAGCTGTGGTTGGTGGTTTTGGTTCAACTGTTGTTTGTGATGGCTTTGGTGTAGCTGTGGTTGGTGGTTGTGGTTGAACTGTTGTTTGTGGTGGCTGTGGTGTAGCTGTTGTTTCTGGCTGTGGTAGAGTTTCAGATGTAGGTTGTGGTCTACCTGTTGTCGAATGTGGTTGATTAGTTGTTGTAGGTTGTGGTCCTGCTGTAGTTGGTGGTTGTGGTTCAACTGTTGTTTTTGGTGGCTGTGGTGTAGCTGTTGTTGGTGGTTGTGGTTCAACTGTTGTTTGTGGTGGCTGTGGTGAAGCTGTGGTTGATGGTTGTGGTTTAACTGTAGTTTGTGGTGGCTTTGGTGTAGCTGTAGCTGTGGTTGGTGGTTTTGGTTCAACTGTTGTTTGTGATGGCTTTGGTGTAGCTGTGGTTGGTGGTTGTGGTTGAACTGTTGTTTGTGGTGGCTGTGGTGTAGCTGTTGTTTCTGGCTGTGGTAGAGTTTCAGATGTAGGTTGTGGTCTACCTGTTGTCGAATGTGGTTGATTAGTTGTTGTAGGTTGTGGTCCTGCTGTAGTTGGTGGTTGTGGTTCAACTGTTGTTTTTGGTGGCTGTGGTGTAGCTGTTGTTGGTGGTTGTGGTTCAACTGTTGTTTGTGGTGGCTGTGGTGAAGCCTGTGGTTGATGGTGTGGTTTAACGTGTAGTTTGTGTGGCTGTGGTGAGCTGTGGTTGATGGTTGTGGTTTTAACGTGTTGTTTGTGGTGGCTGTGGTGAAGCTGTGGTTGGTGGTTGTGGTCTATCTGTAGCGTGGGGTTCATTAGTAGATGTAACAGGATGCTCTTGTCCTTCTGTTGTTTGAGGGTTTTCTGTAATTTCAGGTTCTGGTTGATCTGAGGGTTCAACTCCTGGGTGCTCTGTTGTCGGTGGTTGGGGTCTAGCTGTAGTTTCAGGGCCAGTTGTGGTAGTTTCTATTGGTTTGGAGGTTGTTGAAAGCTGTGGCCTTGTTGTTGTGTCTGGCTTTGTAGGGGATTGTGTATCAGAAGCAGTTGGAGCTACTGTTGTTGTGGGGATTGTTGTTGTGAAGGTAGTTGTTGATGGTGGTTTTGTTGAGTTATTCTCTTGAGGAAGCTCTGTACCTTCTGTTGCAACTGGGTTGGAGGTCGTGGGAGCAGGGGTTGTTGGTTGAGCTAGTTCTGTAATGATATTTCACAAACAAGTCAGACACATTCCCAGTTACAATGTGTGTGAACAAAATTGAATGCCAGCAAGAGAAAATAGTTACCTCTGCAGTGTCCACGATGAAGTGATACATCATCTATGGCAACATCAGACTGATCATTGGAACCTATTCGCCCCTCAAATATAACCTGAAATAAATTGCACATGTTCATGCTAAAGTACATTATACCAGCACAAGACCAATTACTCATTTATGTTTTCAGGTAGTACATTTTTTGTGTTTTGCTCTGCAAGTTTTGCTCATTAGTCAGATGAGGAGAATAACATTTTACCTGGAAAGCTCCAGATGTTGCCAAGTCCACCTGAGCCAGGTGCCACATATTTCCTTGGTCATTTCTCTTCCACCAAACAGCATCAGCTAATCTATCCTGGAGCAGGTAAACATGGAGGCCCATTGTATCTGCTGAGCCGTACATGTGGTACCAGAACTGCAGACACTGAGGACCAGAGTCAGAACACTCAGAGCTAATGAGACGAGCTGTGTCACCATGTGACGCGCTGTTGGCTTCGATGTAAAGATACTGGCCACCTGGTTAAGGACAAAAGAGTTTGGAAAAAAAAATGCATAGCATACTATAAGTTTAAGGTATATCAAAATGCAACTGAAATGGTTGCTAAATGTTGACAATCCAAATGTCCTCAAAACACTAACATCCAAAACATTTCTTAATTGCCCATCCTCAGGATGTTAACGGAAATATATCTTACCTTTATGTAAAACAGTACACCAGGAACTCATAGCCTGACAGTTTACAATTCTGGTTGAACGAGGAGGAACTATTTCAACAACCAAAATGTTTTTCACCTTGACTGTGTGGCTAAAACTGGCAAAGGGTGTGCAGACAGTACAACACAAAAGTTACATGGCTTGTGTGAGAAAGCTAATTACCTCCCATAGTGTGATCTGAAGAAGGCCCAGTCATTATAGTTGGGGTGTAGCCACTATGCCTTGTCCAATCAATAACATCAGTAGCAAGTTGGGTCCACTGACATAGATCTTGTTCATAGTTGCAGTTGAGTTGGCATACTACACACACAAGTCAAAGATATCTTTAATTAACTGGAAATCACAAAAAAAGTATAAAAGGTCAGACAGCCGGGGTTACATGTGCTGCTGTGGAATTAGAACTTTACCTGGGTGTCTGTTATCTGGAGCTTCAGTAACGTTGTCCTTATTAAAGTCGGTTGTTGCTGCCACTACGGGAGTTATGGTAACATTTGCTTCAGAGGGCTGAGCAGTTACATCGACCTGAGGGGGCTCTGGATCTGCAGTGGATGGCACAGGGACACTTGGAGAAGCTGTGCTTCCATCAGGTTTGGAAGGACTTGTTGACTCAACACCACTCAGATCTGCAACAGTTTATTTAAAACATTATCAGATTACACAGCCTTGGGATGAATATCACATTTTTAAGGTTTAGTGGTTTTCATTCACTGTGCATGTTTTTTTTACCAGAGCATCGTCCACGATAAAGCTTTACATCATCTATTGCCGAATCCGACTCTTCATTGGAGCCTCTACGTCCCTCAATGATAATCTAAGTTATGGAAAAATGATTAGTTATTATTTTACAGTCTCTTATTGTTACAATTTACTTCTACAACATCGTTGGCTGACAATATTTCAATCATTTGAGTGCCAGGTGGAATATGTTGCACCTGGAAAGCTCCAGTTGTTCTGATGTCCACCTGAGCCATTTGCCACATATTTCCCTGGTCATTAGTCTTCCACCAAACAGCTTCTGCTAGTCTGTCCTGGAGCAGGTAAACATGGAGGCCCATTGTATCTGCTGAGCCGTGCATGTGGTACCAGAACTGCAGACACTGAGGACCAGAGTCAGAACACTCAGAGCTGATGAGACGAGCCGTGTCTCCATGCGTCACGCTGCTGGCCTCGATGTAAAGATAATGACCATCTAAGTATGAGAAGCGAAATGATCAATATTTTCACATACACTTTCTACGGTGAGATAGATATTTTCAATACCTCTGTGTCATACCTGTGATCATTTATAATATTACATAGAAAAGGGGTGTATTACCACCAGTGTGGTCCGCAGAGGGCCCAGTCATCAGAGTGGTGGTGGAACCACTTTGCCATGTCCAGTCAAAAGCATCTGTGATCATCTGACTCCAGCTACAAAGACTGCTATCGAAGCTACAGTCCAAATTGCAGACTATAAGGGAAACATTTGCAACATATTAACAGGAACTAACTATTAAGGACCATGGCAACTTCCTACAAATTTAGAAAATCATTAACTGGGAGTACAATCACAAGACATACATGTTCAATTCTAACCACACATCAGCTTTCTCACGTAGAAACAATTGGCCCATAAAAAAAGCTTCCTGTGCACTTACCTGGGTGTGAGGGGAGGATTTCCACATCTGAGGAGGGAAACACAGTTCCACTAACCAGGCCAGGGACACTACCTAAAGGAGGACATTATTGGTTATGTTTAAACCCTGAGAAATGGCCATGATTTGAGATAATATAATTTATTTGTAGCATTAGAAATGTCCTTGTATCCTCAAGTCATATATATTTAGTCAAATATCAAATGCTTTGTTTAGTTAAATGAATGTCACCTAAACATGAGCCAAAGTTTATGGAAATGTCATCGATGGCCACATCTGATTGAGCATCGGAGCCTCGAATTCCCTCAAGTAAAATCTAAAAGATGTAAAAGGGAAAAATAAATGTTTTAATATACAACTGCAATAATATAATCTTTTAGGCCATTATATTGTCTGTAATGTGTCACTTACTTGGAATGGACCAGACACTCTGATATCAACATTTCCTAGATGCCATTCTGGACCTTGGTTGTTCATCATGGACCAGAGTTTAGTAGCTTTATTGTCTTTGAGCAGGTAGATATTGAGGGCCATGGCGTTGGCTGAACCATACATATGGTACCAGAAGTTCAGGCAGAGTGGTCCATCATAATGGCACATTGAGCTCCAAAGACGAGCTGAATCTCCATGTGTTACACTACTTCCTTCAATATACATGTAGAAACCAGCTGCAGAAAAGTTGAAATTAGCATTACTAAAATGCACAATTAAAATCAATGCAGCAACTTTACAGATGTGATATCGTCGCCTGACATTACGTTTTACCTCCAGTGGTGTGGTCTTGGTTTGGGCCAGTTAAGCTTGATGGTGTGGGTCCTGAATGTCTTGTCCAATCAAAACTGTCCTGCATGAGCTGCTCCCACCCACACAGATTATTTTCAAAGTCACAGTTTATGGGACAGACTGTGAAAAATCATATAAACAAGATCAGAATGACAATGGCTTATTATGCATAGGAACATAACATTATGAAAAGTAGATAAAAATACATTTCCCAAGAAAACATGATTTCATCCAGTCCGTAGATAAATATTATTAATTTATTCTAATAAATGTATGCATTTAAGTACTGTATCTGTTTTTAAGGCAAGCAAAGTAAATCCAAAGTTGGTTTTGAAATGATTCATTATGAATTTAATTTTGCTACTGGTTATCCAAACCAGTAACAAAAAACATTCCCAACCCTGAATGCTCTTACAAGTCTGATCTGTAGTAGTTGAAGGTGGTGGTGGAAGAGTTGTAGTAGGTGGGGGTTCAGCTGAAATAGGGACAACAAAACCAAAACGTTTTTGGCCTCATAGGAGATATTTATACAGAAAAAAAAGATTGCCTCAGACATGGCTCTCAGCCCAGTTGCAGTTGACTCTGCCATAATCCTAACAATTAAAAGCAACAGCATAACGTTTTGAAGAAAATCAATAATTAGGTAATATACTTAATATGTTAAACTGCCTCTCATCTTAAATGCATTTAGATTACACACTTTTTTTTTTAAATGTTCATTAATTGTCTCACAACTAAATATCCTTAGACATAAGTCGAAAACACACTATAAAGTAATCACACTGTTACTCTTATCCTAATGTCTGACCTAAACACTCACCACAGGCTGTGTCTGTCTGCCAATGAGGTAGCTCCACTCCTGCAACATGGCATGCTGCTGCATAGGACTTAAGAGATTCACATAGTGTGTGTCGGTCACCACGTGTGGCACAGAAGTCATACACACAATTGCTGAGGTAGATGCTTGGGTGAATGGTTTCATGGCAGGGCTTGAAAGCGTCCCCTAGTAGGATGTAGCACTCATTGTAGGCCTCATTCTCCTCATCAACTTCACATTGTCTGGGATCATCTGGGTGGGAAATACACCTGAACGAGAAAGTTTAGACTGATATACTGATATTTCTGTTCCACTTTGAACAAACGGATATGTTGATAAGGTTTATTAATACTATTTATGTGAGGAAAACATAATTTGACAACTTCTTCAGGTTATTCATAAACTACAAAGAAAGCCAAGATGTCAGATTGGTTTCAAGATAATGGTCTAATGGCTATTACTTATTTGCAAAGAACAAACAACTGCCTCTTAACAGAAAAAATGTCAGATATTTCAGTACTTTGGCCTAGCAGGGGTTTATGCTAACATGAGTAGAAGGTATAATGTTTTCCATGTTCTTGATCTTAGTTTAGGTGGAAATAAAATAAATGCTACACAGCTAGTGTGGCTAAAAACATGTTTTCTTCACTTTCTTTTGAGATGGTACGCCTCACTTTTCCCTTTTGTATTTATTGAACTATCAGCATTCATGTGATCTCCATTAAAATATGTATAGATACCATTTTAGAAGAATAGCTTACTCGTTATTGCCTGGCACCTTCCAACTGTCACCAAACTCAAATGGACCAGTTGCATTTTGGCCTCCTGGCGTCACAAAGTCATCCTCCTGACGGTCCGAGAAGGTGCCACACAGTCCGCAAAGTTCATATTTGTAGCGTTCATCAACGTGGAGGAAGAGTCTGTTCTGTGCGTCTATTATCATTCTGAGGCCAAAGGTTGTTTCCAAGATGATATAATTGTTCTTCAGGTAGACCCATACTGAGCCAAATGATCCATTGGTGGAATAGGGCAGTCGGACTCTGCTTTTATTCACCTAAAGAGAGGAAAATGTATTATTTGTAATAGTTATTTGTGAGAACTGAGTTTCTTAAGAATGTCTTGCATTAAAACACAGCACTATTTAATTTTATTGGGATATTAAGTGCAGCCTTTTATCGACCAACTAGTTCAGGGCAAAGGAAAGTAGGTCAGCTCGAAATTTGTTTGTTCTTAACTTTAGATAAGTGACTTCCCTAATGATTTTACACAGAGTAATACATTAACCATATAAACATGGGTGTGCTGATTTTACAGTTGTGAGCTGTGGTAATTAAGGAAGGACAATAAATAAAACAGAACAAGCACTCTTTATATCCAGTAAGGACCTGACCTTTACAGGTCATTGACACATTTGCATGGACTGTAACACATTTGCATACAGCCTCCGTTCCATTAACCCAATGATATAACAAAGTTGGCATTGTGTGATATGTAGAGAATTTTTCGTGCTTACATAGACCTCCCCGCTCTGATTCAGTGTGACGTATAAATCGTCAACTTGGAGATCCACAGCTTCCAGCTTGGATGGAGTGAAATTTGTGTGGGGAAGATGCATGTTGTGTCCAATCACAGTGAACTGCACTGAGCTTTCTCCTCCGCACGTGGTAGTCAGCGTGTAACTGCAGCCCCCTTGAAAGTCATATGCCATCCCATCAAAGGTGATATAGTGTGGGTCACCATACACGCTGCAGGTGGCAGGTTTGAAAGGAAAGCAGCCTTTGAACCCATCCTTGACTTTACAGACATCATTGTCTGAGCATTGCATTGTGGTGCAGTGCACCTCATTTGTACCCACGCACTGACACTGCTGCTCACACTCCCCTTTCGAGAATGATGCTCCTTTCTGCAGGCAAAACAGAGTTGAGTGATTCAATTATAGCAGTGTGGAAGTTAAAATGTGAATTAAAAGTTGTTGCAGTTTCATCTACATCACTTACCTCATAGTGTTTTCCATTATCCCAGCACCCACAGTCCTCTGCTGCGACACACTTTCCCCCACTGAGTTTAAAGCCAGAGTCACACTCGCATCTTTCCTCACAGCTTCCACAGGAGCCAACTGCATCCAAACCGGAGCACATCTCGGGACAGCCATCAGCACATGAGTTATAGTGGCTGTTCTCACCACACTGAAGGGCTGAGAGGGGCAACAAAGAAAAGAGGAAAGGGCTTGAACTGTTGTTGTTTTATTAAAGTCATTATTTCTTACTATTTTTTTATTTTTCATCAGTGGGTCAATAAATGGCCCATTAAAGGGTCATTAAAGAAACATACGGCATAGTGTAGAGTTCCTCAATGTGGGTATGGTGACTCCAGCCTCCTGGCAGATATCCGTGTAACTCTGGAATGTCTCACAAAGTACCGCTGTGTCACCGTGGGTAGAGCACATGCCGACCACACAGGCCCTGAAGTAGCTCTCTGCCCCCAGAACTGATAGGCAGCCAGCAAAGGGCCCGGTGCTGGAGAGGAGGCCCCCACAGTACAGCTCACTGGCATACTCTGCCTCCTCCAGTGGGTCACAATGATGTGGTACTAGAATGGTATCACAGGAGGAAGTGCTTTGCCCAGTCCGCCAGCTCTCAGCCAAACCTGTAGCATCATGGGCATTTGTTCCATCTGGCTTTCTGAAGTCATCTTCTCTGAGGTGGTTATAGTTTCCGCACAAGCCACAGACTTGGTCAGAGTAAGTGGATGGCAGCGCGACTTGGACAGCACCAGCGTTGTCATATGAGACAGAGAGACCAAAACTGGTTTCCAATACAACAGCAGCGGGGTTGCTCTTGACTTTGACAGAGCCATTGTTAAGGCTCAGTGGAAGCTTCTTCCAGACACCATTAACCTGAAGGAAAGTTAAAGTTTTAGACTTTCTTACTGGCTGTCATCAGCAATATGGACTGACTGTACCTCACAGTTAGCATAAGAAGCACCCTTCTGGGAATTGATAAGGGAGATAAGTCTGGGACATTATGCCACTAAACTCTGCACTTTACAATAAACTCTGTTTATCAGTAGAGTTGGCTGCAGATAGGGGAACTGCTCGTTTCAGTACATTTCCCAGCTCAACACTCACTACCCCAGAACGGAAAGGTGCCACAAACCTGAAGTATATGGTACATGCAGTTCTTAGTCATTATGACACCAAAGGGGGTGAACATAGTGTAGGAAGGAAATAAATATTCTTTACCCTTGAAAATATCGTCTCCCTAATGGGTGATGATAAACACAGTAATAAACAGCTGAGCACAATAAACATAACATAAACTATACATCAGGAATAGATCACACTAATGTATTTCTAATTATCTATTTTCTCTTTTAAAGTGACTCACCACAATGCGATGCGTCTGTCTTTTCAGCAGGGACACTCTGAAGTTCCCCATGTCCACAATAACCTCCTGAACAGTTGGCAGAGATGAGTTCCAGTTTTGCTCATTCACTACTTTCACACTGAACAATGGCAGAGTCTCAGAGGGTGAGCAGGTCTTAGCCAGCGTGTAGGTGCAGGAGGCCATGAAGCGGAAGAGCACTCCATCAAAAGTGCTGCAGTCTGTGTGACTGTGTATAGTGCACATCCCAGAGGCGGGAATCCCACTGGATCTTTCTATTTGAGGACCGCAGATTTGGCCCTGAGGGCACTGAGTGGGAGAGCAGGAGAGCTGGCCCCCAGAACAGAGGCAGCGGGTGGACTCATCTGTCCAAAACTCTGTGTTAGAATCACACTGTTGTCCTGGGGGGGATGTGACCGAGTAAACAATCACGTTATAATCACAACACCATCTGGCTAGAATAACTGAATAGTAACTTGACATACAGTATGTGGATTAATGTTAATGATCACAGTTATTCAACATGTGATTCAAATATGTACTGATAACTTATTATAAGTAAAACATTCTTACTGCCTTATATTAAGTTCAAACTGTTTTTACATCTTAAAGCTTTAGAAGAAGAGTTTGGTGAAATAGGATCTTTTGTTGTTTCACTGACACTAAGCTGACACGTGTTATGACAGTATTGGTTTATGTTTTGCATACTCATTGTTATCACCATACATAGCTGAAAATAACAGGATTTTGTTTTATCATAGGAATCAAAGGTTGGCTGTTCTTATATTAATATAAAAAAAAGATATATATTTACCACATGAGCCTCTTCTTACACCTAGACGATTAAATGTGAACTGTCCCTCCGTGGACACTGTTTCGATTACAACCTAATACAGAAGCAGATTGTGTTTTTTTATTTAACAGTACTATATTTTGATTCCCCAATACTGTTTATCATATGACATTTTACCTGAGTCCCTGGTTCGATGATGTTCAAGGGGACAAACACTTGTCTCCAAGAATCCCTGGGGAGGACAGGTGAGGTCCAGATTTCTCTCAGACCCGTGCTGCTCTTCAGCAGAGTCCTGAGTGCTGTCCCATGAGCTGCAACGGGGGCTAAATACCAAAACTCTAGACAGGCTTCGCCCTCCAGCACCAGTGGACCGCTCTCTAAAATAGTCACATCCCCTGCAGATGAAAAGGACCGTAAGAAAGTGTAATCAGTAGCTGTTTTTTCCACATAATAAAAAGTGATCAAACTCCATTTTTTATTAGTTTATTAGTTTTATTAGTACCTTCTGAAGTACAAATCCAATGACAATAGCCTCGCCATTCCTTTTAAAGCACTCAAGTCAAATAGTGACATTTATTTTTAACCACGCAGGTTAGGAATAAGCTTTTATGTCGGACCATAAGTTTTATTACTTAAAAAAATAGCAAACCATTCCCTCGTCTCTGTTATTGTAATCAAAAAAAGAAGTACATCTGTTGTGGTGCAATAATCATTAAATGCAGAATTGCAGTTTAGTGTGTTTTGCGCTAATTTTGAACCTTAAGTGCAGGCCCTCATCTTTGACTGCCCCCGGGAGAACATCAGGCTATAAAAGATTATTAGCCTGCTTCAGATCATTTAGTGATACGCAGCGAGGTACAGACACACAGTCACAGCCCGCCTGTAGATTATAACAGAACTGTGGACTGCTGTTCCAAATCCTCTTCAAAAAGGGTGGGAACAAAATGACAGTCACAGTCTCTCACTGTCAAAGTGAACTCACACTTTACTGTAACCTCCCTTAAAGAAACACATTTTGCTTTCAAATGTGCAGTTCATTTTCCTTTCAGCTTTTGTCTGTACCTGTTCTTAGTTGGGTCCAGTCACAAATCTGATTAGGTCCGTCGTAGGAACACTGTGTACCGTACTCTATGAAAGAAGAACAATGAGTCAAATATTGGTTTAAGTCAGTGTGTGATTTTTTTTAAATGTCATTTAATAAATTGCAACAATATATAAAGTATCCACAAGTTTTAGTAATTGTAAAACGTCATACCTGCATTTTTTCTCCAATCTGGTAAAGCAACTTCAGCCCTGAAATAGAAATAGAAAAACTATTTGTGTATTCTATTCCATTGTTCTTTGCTACAAGTTATTCTAATATTGAAATGATTAAATAATAACATTGAGCAAAAATCAAAATGTTATTCACTCAATAAAACCGCTACAACCCTATTTTTAAACAACATATCAGCTTCATTTTGGCAGTTAAAATGTAATTATCTTGACACCCACCTGCACTGAGTCCATGTCTGAGTTAGAAAGAGTAGAGTCACTGTGACCAACAAATCTTTGAAGATGCATCCAAGCATGGCTGATCTCTTAACGGCAGCCTCCCAGCTGCTCTCCCGTTACTAATACTCTCTCTCTCTCTGTCTTTGATGAGTTGAAGAATAAATGATGAGAGGTAACTGTTTTGTAACCTCTCTGTGGAAATGCAGTTGATTAATGACCCTTTGGCACAGAGGTCTGGCCCTCTTGTGTTGTTCTCAGGAGGAAGGAACAGGTTTTAAAGCCTTTATATCCCCCCCACCTAACCAGGTAACCAGTGGGTGGAGATAGAGGACTGGAGTACAGGACGAAAGGGGTTGGACTCGGTCTGTGACGTTCACATATTCCAAAAGACGAAAGCAACTGACACAGTTACTGTCGCTAGGTCATAAAAAGCATAAAAACCAAGTTAACGGAAAAGAAAATGGTTAGTTAAAAAAAAAAGTTATCTCTGACCAAAGAGTGCAATGTCAACTATGGACTTCTCACCAATGTTATTTAATGTAAAAGCTATACTTACTTATAAATACCTTTATGAACACATTGATTTGTTAAAAACACTTTTCCCATAGTTAATGATAAAGTTGTAAAGGCATATAGTACAAAGTGAAGTCTTTAGAAATATCCACACAAAAAATGATGCATTTGTGCTACAAATATGTGTGTTTAATATTAAGAACATGTATGTGTTGGTGTGTATGATGGAAACAGGAACTTGCAACTTGCTTTGCTCACAATGGATCCTTTGTCTGTTTGAGATATACTTTCATATTTGGCGTCAAACACGAGTCTCTTTAGCGTAGACGTTTCTTAGATATATTTTAATAAAAATGTATTTGCTAATGTTTTCTATTCAGAGATACATTTATTTGCAAATCAAAGCGAAGTATCTGAATTGTTAACACTTAGCAAAGATAAGAGAGAAAAAGATGAGCCATTAAGAACATCAACTTATGCAATCCATGGTCGAGATAATTACAAAACAAGTGCATGGTTTTCTGACAAAAGTGTTGCAAAAGGCTTAAAGAGGTTTCTGCTACACCATGTTTGGTTAAAGATATCAGTGGACTCTATACAACAGGTGAAAGAAAATGTGATAAGACAGATGTATAGTGTGGGTGTTGCTGTCTGATCCAATATTGTGACATTCCTGAAGCCCTGGCGGTATGTGTCAACAGATAGGGTGGCACAGAATAAATATTAGAGCTCTTTAAAACTATCAAACGTAAAAGAAGCCCTTTGTTAGGAATTTACTACCAGACGCTACAGAGAATACAAACTATCCTCCTGTTTTTTTGCTTGTTGCAAAGAGACGGCAATACACTAACTATCTTACCTAAGGAGATAATCTATGTTCAAAAAGACACCTGCCTGATTTCCAAACAGATAACCAAGGCTGTGTCTCAGGGGTTTAAGGTGTGTGATGAATGCCACAGGAAATGAGTTACTTATAAACTGACTTACACTGTCCCTACAGAGCAGGTACTGATGTGTTCAAAGGCTTTAACATGAAATAAAGCAGATATATATGGCTCCACAATGTTTATTCAAAACCTGTATTTACACTCTGAGGAAGCACATATACAGTATAGGCTTGCCTTCATTCAGATAACATGTCACACTTACTATCTTAGTGCCTTTTACTGTGCACATACTTGGTACACTGCCTGGTTAATTTAAGACATGTTACACCCAAATATGCAAATGGGTTATAGTTTTATGGAATTATAGTTTCTATTTTAAGACAGCCATGATAATTACTGGAATGGAGTTGTTTATCGGTTGATAAGGCATATCCTGAGGTCATGTTAGTTCAAGTGACTTATCAAGGTGTCCTCTTCTTCAAGGACATTATCCTGATGCATCTTATTGGTGGACAATACAGTCAGTTATGTTGCAACATTTCTGCATCACCCAAAGTGGTGAAATACAATGCTAAATGGTAATCTAATCAAAATACCTTTTTGTTACTGTATAAAAAAAAAAAGAATGACATCATCAATCAGAAATTGCTGCACTATTACAAATCCATAAACCTGTTCTTGTTTTTTAAAGCTTCTGAATGTCTTCAGTCAACAAAAAAACCCCATTAATAATCAACCTCGCCCACAGGAAGTGGGAGAAAGGGGCCAAGACCGAGAGCAAAGCAATATACTGCAGGCTTTTCCAAGGATCTTTGTGGACTACAGATGCCCTGATCCATGACTAACAGTTAATAAGGCTGTGCTTGCTCTTTGAATGTCCTCTCTGCTAGCTCTACTGTTTATCAGCTATAAAAAAGAACACCCTGGTAAGCAGAGGAATATTAATTTGGAAAAAAAGGAGCAAACGCCTAATGCAAAAATACTGACTAATCGAGTCTTAAGATTGTGGTGAGCGGATAAACATACTAGAACAATCTGTAATATCTAACTGGTGATTTTCCACTTGCACTTAGGAGAAACAGATTTATTTTGGAGACAGCTATACAGTACAGTGTTAGTGGGTGGGAGTTAAGAGGCCATTATGCTTCAGCAGAACTGCTTGTCAGATGGTCAAACAGCTTTTCTCATTTCTCAATGTGTTGTTTAACATATTGTTAATAATACGTTATTGTTAAAAAGAAGAACAAATGTATTTCGGAAGATGTACATTCCATTAGCAGGTAGAAGGGGTTGTTCCTGTCTGTGTTTGATTGACAATTGAAACACAATTGCACTGCAGCATATTTGTCATGGGCAGACCGTTTGTTATTAGTGCTTTTTAGCGTAAGGGTCGTACTGGCATTTACCATTTAGATTGATTCAGTTTGCTCTCTTACTGTGATGCATCTGGGCAGCTTTGAGCTCTCTAGCACTTAAACAGAAACACTAATGTGGGTCTTTGTTCAATCTCTGACGTATGTTTTTTGAACAGCTTTCAAATCAAATTAATGCAAAACTATGGGGCGCCATTGAGAAACCAAAATGCGTATTAAAAAATATATTTTTCGCCTTTTGGTTCCAGATTTCTGGTTTGTGGTACAAGACAAGTGATTGACCAAGAAGCTATGTAAGCTGAGTCAAGAAATGCAATACAACAAATCCAAATCAGGAGAGACTGAAAATATGTGTTCCTAGCCCTGTATTTCAGTGATTGTTCCCATTTTGCCCCTTGATGATTGTTCCCATCTTGCTCCTAGACATGGACACCCAGTTCAAACTAACTATTTCTTTATGAGAATAACCCTAACACATGAAAACCTTTGCCCCTTAATCTTGGGAACTGTCCCCCACCATGTATCTTCAAGCATTTCTTCGACCTTCTGTTAGAGTTCAGTTTGTACCAGGCTCACGCCCAAAGGTCACCCCTGCTGAAAAACAGAAAAATCAATCCACAATGCAGCCTTTCTTCTATGAATAGGCCAGTCAATGCCATATGAAAATCTCCCTTCCAGTCTGATTGTGTCTTAGCGGCCGGCAGTCCCTAGAGATGTCCTTAGCTGTAGCAGCAGGTCAAGGTCACAGTTGATAGATAACACAGGTTAAGACAGGGCAGACGCTAAACTCTCCCTCATGTCAAAGCTTTAGCACTTATACTTTTATTGAGCTCTCATTCAGATACTCGCTCCCTTCCCTTGTATGCTGGAATTAAATGAGGACTACTGGTACCATCATCTTTTTGCTCTCTGAGGTATTAATAATTCAATGTAGAGTCAAGGTCATCACAGATGGAGACTTTTTTAAAAATAGGCCAGACAACAAGCCCTTTTTCCTGTCTCAAGTTATAACAGAAATCTTTGTTGATGCCCTATTTCTGCAGTTCAAGGAATATATATATATATATATCACTTCTTACAGCTTTATTGTGTGTTGACATTTTTACATTTTCTAAACTCTGCACAGGATTTTGTTTCTACTCCAATGTTTATCATGTATGGTCTCCAAAAAACTGACGATTGAGTGCTTGTGAACTTCAATAATATGTACTGTTTACACATATATAATATATATACTTCACAGTTGTGTGCATGAATGTGAGGACATATGTAACTGATTAAGAGGGTCTATAACATTGCAGTTTAAATCCCCTGACCATTTATGGGCATATTCTTACAGGAGCTACAATTTATGACCTATTTTCAAACAGGTTTCAAGAATGAATAGTTACTCACTGAAGGGTGAAAGAAAGCATCGAAAGGAATGTAAATTAGGTATAGGTTCAAGCAATGGCTTTCTTGCAAAAATAAAAAAAGTATTTCAAAACAAATTACACCTCAATATACAGTATCTGTTTAATATTCATTGAATCATTTGACTTGCCAAAGCATTTCCTAATTTCACAGGGACAAGTCAAACTTGTTAACATTTTGCCTTCAGGCCCAAAAAAGGCACAAGTGTTTATAAAGCAATAAAGCAATTAATAACCTCTGTTTCATTCCATTTATTATCGCAGTAAACACGCTGAAATTAACATTTGTTGGTTTTTGTTTATGTTTTTGTTTGTTTTTGTTTTTCCCTCCCCCTTTCCTTTTTCTCAAGACAAGGTCATGAGCTGTCCTTCCCTTCCCCTCTGTTCCTTCCTTCCGCCACGTTCCATTGAAAAGTTTCCGTGCAATCGTGCAGGTGTTGCTCGGCCTGTGGTGCTTCGTTTCACAAACAGAGCTTGACTTCTCCTTCTACCGAGTGATTGCTAAACAGGTTGTTTAATGAATACAGGTGCTGTGGTTCTGCTCTGCCTATCAGGGAGACATGATCAATACTCCAGGCAAGCTGCGTTTAATTGTCTTTTGTCAACACTCTATGTGAGGAGGCGAGAGGAACATTCCCCAACCCCCACGTCTGCCCAAACCCCAGAAATGTATTCCCTTCTTGATCCTTTATCAGGCTTGTGATACATACAGCCTTGGAAGAAGACCAGTCACAAACAAAATAAAAATGGTTGTTTGTTTGTGGAGGACTTTACATTAGTACATCGTTTTTTAAATACAGTAACCTAATGAAGCTGTCATTTTTTATGCACCAAGGTGGAGCTATTTCAACCATCCTAAGGCAATTTTATAATTGCTGAGCTTCTCGACAAGCAACATCCATGATGACTTTTACTGTGAGCTGGTGGAGCAGAGCATTAATATCATGCTTCATTCAACCAGAAGGTGGCACTCTATCGCCTTCAGAAAACTACCCGAGTGTCAGAGCCATGACTTTAACGTTTCTGAAGGTTTATCAAACCAGACGAAA